CAATTGAGATTTTCATATTCAAGCAAACACTTGATGAAGTTTGGAAAATTTCCGGAAGGAGAATGTGTGTACAAGAAAAACATCAAACTCCAATTCCTCGGGGAGTCAGCACAGGTAGAAATGTGAAATCACAACTTCTGTTATGGCATGTTTCAATATGCTTATTTATATAATGAATACCAATCTTCACGATGCTGATTTAGTTACTTTATCAGACAAAATGGGTAAGTTTTTGTTTACTTAACACGTATTTATCCTCAAAATTAATCAGGTGAAGAAGACGTTGAACTTCAGATATTCCAGCTAGTGATTTGCTTGCAGGAAAAGTTACCATTCCAAATCAAATAAGGTTTGAGACAAAAGTTTTATGAATTTGTACCTGAGAGAAGGTTTACTTTGTTATCATTCGTTTAACAGTGCCAGAACAAGAATTGTTTGAAGAAATGGTAACTCTATATAATACGATTAGCGGCTGGCCATGAACCACGATAAACCTCCGCATACCACTTGTAAGTTGTCATCTTATTGATCTTAAGGAATTTCTGAAAGATAGAATTATATTCACTTATTATTTTTTGTAATGTCGACATTGATTGTTCCTCTAGTTAAACTATTTTCCACTTGGAGTTGAACATATTATTGTCCTTTGCCCTTTAGGTATGCTTGCTAGCTTCCACACTTGTGCATCACCGCTCAAATTTGCAGAAGGTCTACAAGGAATGTATAAAACAGGGAATGTTCTTGCTCAAAAGGTTTAATTTTCAAATCTCTCTATGTTACTGTTATGGTATTTGTAAATATATTCAGGATTGTGAAGAACCATGAAATTGAGTATTGGAAATCTGTAGAGGAAGCTAACAGATACTGTTGATACGCAAGAGAAATGATCTTGGCCAGTAAGTAAGTTTTGCGTCCATATTGTAAATAACCTTACCAGTATTTTGTCACAACTTTTTTCTACTAACAGTTGAGATTTTATATCCATGGCCAAACTCTTAATGGTGGTGAGGTCGTTTGAAAATTTCCAGAAGAAGAATAGTATTGAACTCCAATTTCTCGAGGAGTCGTCACAGGTAAAAC